TTGGCTCTGGGGTCTACTAAGCCCCTTGTCCAGTGAGTAGGGTCGTTAACATCAATACTCACTTCCAACTAGTGCCGAGGTTATGCATGTATGGAGCTATACCTCCGTTCCCCAATATACCGTTATGACGTGGCAATTTATTAAGCATAGTTTTGTTTGAAGAAACTGCATAATGAGGAGCTTCATAACTTGACCTCTCCTCCAAGTATAATTAGGAGATGAGATGGACGGAACGTGTAACACGAATGAGAGAAGAGTAATGCATATAGAATATTGGTGGGAAACTCAGAAGGAAAGAGACCACTAGAAAAAGAATAGGGACCAATGGAGGGCTCTTGTGATGACGGTAATGAAACTCTGCGTTCCATAGAACGCTGGGAAGTTCTTGAATAGCTGCACAACTGGCGGCTTCTCAAGGACTCAGCTCCCTGAGTCAGAGAGTGAGTGAGCGATAACTTTAGTTGCAACTCCACTGTCTTCGTTAAATTGGGTATTGTGAATATACATTGACTGCCACTGTGGTCTAGTAGTCAGCGTTCCTGGCTATAGACCCAGAGGACCGGGTTCGATTCCAGAATTTTTCGGAGTAGTAGTGGGTCTGGAACGGGGTTCACTCAGCCTCGTGGGAGCTCCTTAAATGGAATAGTAGTGGCTCCGGTCTAAAAAACCGAAATTAACGGCCGTGGGGATTCGTTGCGCTGACCACGTGACACCCTCTATCCTCAAAAGTTGGCACTAACTTCGCCGAGAAGCGGCGGTTGTTCGGTCGGTATAGTTCGCTTGCGGACTGAAATCACGGAGTTTGTTTTTTGTTTTTTTGAGTATACATTGAAATACGTAAATTTTAATGCTATTTACTGCGGATATATATTACAACCCAGAACTCTTGTGTTCATTTCAAATTCACTTCTATTACAGCTGTTAAAAATGGTTTATCCTTGGATACAAATAAATGAGAACGGGGTAACTTAACGATTTCATTAATTTCCACTACTTCTATTCGACAAATTCCTCGATCAAATAAATGTTTTTGTTTAAATAAAAGGACAATAGTGACTGTGAACGTTGCTGTTTAATAACGTTACATTAATAAATGAACACTAAGGCCAATCTTGCAATGCAAATTCATGAAGGACGCCCCCCCACAAGGATGACATGCACTTGAAAATGGAGGACTTCCTCTTGTTGAGGTATATGATCCCTACACTTGCTACTTAACCAGCGATAAAATGATTCTCAAAAGCGTCTCGCTAAAAACTCCCACACTCATACGCTAAATCAGTTGCTTCAAAGAGAATTACGAGTGTATTTTCTATTAAACGCTTTCCCCAAGCGGTCCCACATCCAAGTACTAACCACGTCCAATGCTACTTAACTTCGTTGAGCCGTGACAGCGCAGTCGCTACGACTGGCGACCGAAGTGTGTCGGAGTTCGAGTCCCGGTGGCATCAAGAATTTTCTCTTCTCCAAATCATCCAGAATGTCCCTGGGGTCCACCCAAATTCCTGTCCAATGGGTACAGGGGACTCTTTCCCCGGGGGTAAAAAGGTAAGGGTGTGAAGCTGACCACTCACCTCCAGCTAGTGCCGAGGTCAAGAAAACGTGGATCTATACATCCACTCCCCATACGCCTCCATGGCGTAGTGCTTAATTAGTTAAGCACAGGGACAACTTAACTTTTTACCTTTTAAGGCTTCTCCATATTATCTCATCCCCTGCAATCGCCTTAATGTTTGGTGAAGAGCAAGGGATATTTAGCTTTTCATCATGTACCCGTCTTCAGGCTCCTGTTCCATCTCCCCCCCCCAAGTCCAAACATTCTTCTCAGTGCTTATGATCCTTGCAATACTGCTGACGTCATATTCCAGAAATGCGTTACTTTCAGCTGTTCCTCTCCAGCAGTCTCGCCCCTCCAGGACAGTGCCTCGCTCTGTCTGAGGGGCCCGACGTGAGTGCGAGCCTTGTTTCACTGTCATACCCTGAAATGTAGATATAGGAAGCCAATACTGGATTTGCGCCGTTGTGAGCCCTGGAAATAACATGTCCTTGTTGGCAGCCGTTGCTTCTTACTGATAAGGTAATAGGCGGGACAAGATATGTGTGCTGGCTTCTGTCATTTTGCAAATAAGTAACTTAGGACGGGATGAAGTGACAGGAGGTTTGAGAAAACTGCACAATGAGGAGCTTCATAACTTGTACTCTTCTCCAAGTAAAATTAGAATGATCAAATCAAGGAGGATGAGGTGGACAGGGCATCTAGCACGAATGGGGAGATGAGAAATGCATATAGGATATTGGTGGGAAAGGCAAAAGGAAGGACACCACTGGGAAGACCAAGGCGTAGGTGGGTGAACAATATTAAAATGGATCTTAGAGAGACAGGATGGAATGGGATGGATTGGATTGTTCTGGCTCAGGATATGGACCGGTGGAGGGCTCTTGTGAACATGGTAATGAACCTTCTGGTTCCATAAAATGCTGGGAAATTCTTGAGTAGCTGCAGATTTGGCTTCTCCTCACGAAGGGCTGAGCTCCATAAGTATGTATGTATGAACTAATTGTTACGTAAATACAAACCACTCCGTCCAGTGTGAACTATAAGTTTTTACTACATGAAAACTTATCTCCCTTACATGTTTCGTTCCGTACGGACCATCTTCAGAGGGAACATCATTACGAACTGGAAACTACCATCACAGTAGGTGTTTTGATTTAGAGTAGATACACTTATATTCTATAATGCACAGTACGCACAAAGTCGAACATTTCACAATCACAGCAGCTTCCTGGTATTGTAAAGTTTTTAAAGTTTCTAGATGTTAATTTAAAAAACCTTTGTCACTAATTAAAATTTTTTTAAACCACGTAGGTTCGTGTCCATACTCCCATCGTCCTTCTTGTATGGGGCAGATTTTGTGCCGCCTGTCTATCTTGATGAGGTTCTTGATGTCGTCCAGGGTTTGCTCCTGGCTTGCTGTGTTGTTTTCACTCTGAAGATGGTCAATAACGACCGAAACATTAAGGGAGATACGTTTTCATGTAGTAAAAACTTATATGTCACATTGGACGGAGTGGTTTGTATTTATAATTGTTAGTGTGACGGATCAGAAAGAAACAAATCTAATTGGTATGTGAATCTTTTGCTAATAAATGTACCATTGCTCAGTGTGTTCTTGAGTGTCTTGTTTTATGCCCGTTTTTCTCCTGAAATCGCGCAAGCAGGACTTGTTTGCCTTCCAGGCGTGATATTCTGTAAGCAGTGGTTAACAGTCCTGCAACCAACAGTACCACCCTTTCTTTATGTCGTGGCGTGGAGTGAAACTCATTCCAATTGGTATGTTGGCCGCTAGTGGGCAAATTGCACCAGCCCCGGATGGCAGGTAAGTGTGAAGCACTGGAGGAATGAGAATTTCAGGAGAACCTCAAATACTCGGAAAAAAACCTAGCCCAATGCTACTTTGTCCACCACAAATCCCATGTAACCTGGACTGAAATGGAACCCGAGTCGCCACGGTGGGAAGACAGTGAGAAAACGCCTGAGCTATGGCATGACCTCGCTACTTCCTGTAATAGAAAAAAATTATTAGATAATTTTTGTTATTCATTTGTCTAGGCTGTAGTTTTGCATTAATGTCTTGTGGCTTCACGTACTGTCTTCCAGTTGTTATGTCATGTACCCATTTGTCGGCATTCTCTTCAAGTGTGTTAAATTATTTGCTTATTAAAATTGTTCTCTTACACTACAGTCTTCTTTTTGCTGTAGTCAAACAAGTTTTGGGAGAAGGTAATTGAGTTGTGTGACCAGATATATGCTTGTATAGACACGCAGTCCATATAAGCTGCATCGATACATAGAACTGAATCAGACAAGACAAAATGGCCCGCTTGTTGAGCAAAGTTTGAGCGTGTGGCGCACAATTTCGCTTCCAGAAAATCGCCCTCAGCTTATACGTCCTTCTCTTATGGTGAGGGGCTAAAATTCACGTCCATAAAAGCAGTAGGTAGAAGGTGGTATTGTAGGTACAAAACATCTCTGACAGAATAGCGATTACAGAGTTCTCGTACACGCAGGGCTATCCTTCCGCAAGGTTGCGTGCTAAAGGTATGACGTATTCTTACAAGATGAAATTTATCTTTGATCTGGAACTGCGAAATAATAAAAGAAAAGATAGAATTTATTACGAATGTGTTATCGAACATGCGCGGAGCAAGACATGTCCTTGTGCTACAATTACAGTGCCACTGGAACTTTGCTATTACGGAAGAGCATTTTAATAATTTTGGAAATTATATTTTATGGTGCAAATGTAGTAAGTTGAAAATCTAATCAGAGGCAGTCGAACTGCAGGTTTTTACTGATAAACACGTGACAGGGGCCCCTACTCACTGTGTGACATTCGTGACTCCCCCACCGGGGTTCGGTAGCCGGTAAATTGTCCCACACTCAAGAAGGGAACACAGTATAACCTTTCCCTCCTTAACTTAGTTGACCTACGGGGATTCCCGTCTATCCAATCGGTACGCATGCGCTCTCAGGGCGTGTATGAAGGGGATTGGATAGCAACGTTAACAACGGAATCGAGGTGGGTGTGTGAAGTGCCTACAGTTAGTCACGAAGAAGTCACACTTAGAGTCAAAACTTGCCGTTATCGCATAATAATTTAAATAATAAAAATACTGCTCTGTTAATTATTCATACTCCAAGTTCAGCATCCGAGTCCTTTGCTATCACTTCCCCTTGAAATTTCTTGGAACACTCATTTTCGTGGACAAAGTGCTGGCGTGAAGCAACTGGGTTTTTTTCCTTTCTTCCTCTGGTGTACGGCATCCTTCAAAGCGACAATTTTATAGCACTCGAAAACAAGTCATAACTCCCAAAGCAACAGAAATGCCTTCATTTTCAATACTTTACTTCGTAAACTATTCAACATACCGAAAATTGTTCGAAATGAAGTTAGTAAATTTGAACGAACTATGTATTTCCGTTCATGTGACAAGTTTCTATACGACGAACAGTTTCTGAGGAAACTGACGATGATTAATCTGAGTTTCACTGAAAGTAAAATTTGTGTATGATGTACAAGAACCAAAAAACTACATCTGGTGGAGAAAACCGTCTCGAAATTTTATAGATATCCTCTAAGTACTTTCGGAAAAGTTACATGACTGATCCATAGTCTCTATAACGGATTAATCTCAAGAACTGCAACTAAACAAAGCAAAAAGAGCAAATCGCTTTGAGGCCTGTTATCGGACGGCGTAGAGAACCCGCTGCTCATGCGCACAGAGCCGCGTGGCTGTGCTCTCCGTATCAGTGGTCAGTAGCCAGTATCACACTCCATTACGCCAAAAGGCTGAAAGTTGTATGTTAAAGGAACTGTCAGTGAAGCGTTACTCGTGATGGTTGTTCTTTTGTATTGTGGTACTATTGTTGGTTGAAGGCGTTTGAAAAACAGGTAAAAAAATAACCCGTCCTTTACATTGGAGAGATTGACCCCATGTTGTTGTCTTGGCTAATCCGTGAAGTTTTCTGAAAAAAGAAAAGAAAAGAAAAATACTGTTTCTTGCATGAAACATTGAACTCTGCAGACGAAAGACTATTTCCTGAGTCAACACTTTTAGGCACAGTGGTTATTGTACATGAAATCTGCTTTAACTAAATTTTCTCATTAATTGTTTTTGTGTATTTCTTATGTTTCTTAGAATATAGGCCGATTATTACATTAAAGAACATTAAGCATTTGCTTTATATAATTAAGAAGCAATATGTTTACTGCGAGGAATGAACTGAACTGTTTAAATATTATTTACATGAATAGTATACTTCAATAGAACAATATCTCTTCTTCCTTCCAGTTATTATTGAGGCAGCGCCTCTGTCACTGAGGAAGTGAACTTAGTGTACAAATGTGTCAGTCGGTTAGTGAGGAAAAGTGAAACAGCACTCCTTGAATTCTGTTTCTTGTTGCGTTTTAGTAACTGCAGGCTTAGTGAACTTGAATATTATCTTAAATAACCACTGACACCATTTCAAATGTAAATGTAAAAACATGTAAATTTATCTCTGTACTTAATTAATCAAACACCTCGCACATAAAGACGTGTTGGGGAGTGGAGTTATAGCTCCATTATTATTGACCTCGGCACTAAATGGAGAAGAGTGGTCAGCTTCACTCCACGGCCGCTTTATCCCCGCGGAAAGGGTTCCCAGTACCCAGTGGACAGGAGTGTGAATAGGCTGCAGAGCCGGTCTGAAAGCTGTGGCATAGAAGATACTTGCCCCTGCCGGGAATCGAACCCCGGCCGTCCAGCCTGTAACCCCTAGTCATACCGACTGAGCTATCCCGGTTCTTATCACTGAAGAGGTAACCAATATTTATTAAAATCAGAATATGTTCAATCTCAAGAGGCGTCATAAGGCGATACATCACCAATAAATGTAATCACACAAAACAAAACAAAAATACACTTTGTGGCCAGAATACAGAATTCTAACTATTGCTGCAAGTGGTTCATTTTGAACCACTGGACATGAAAAGTTTATTCGTGTTATAATTAATAAAAGCTGAAGTGAAAAAAATTATATACTTAATACAAGTGTGTGCTCTAAATACATTATATGGTCGTGGTTAACAGACTAATCACAATTCACACAAACACACACATCTTCAATATTACCAAATATTAGTCAGTACTTTGCTGGCTGCTTATTTTATATGACTTCTGAATTTGGGTACGTGCAGAGGATACGCCGAAACGTCGGTTGTCACCTACGGGACTACGGAGTGCTATAGCCCAGAAGACAACAATATATAGTAAACTGTCTTGTTACTGATCAGTGTTTCTGGATCTGTTAAGACAGCTTCTCAGCTGTCATGGAGCACGTGGTACACAATACTGCTGCTTCAGCAAGCAGTTATATCTGTCTGATTGCTACTTGAGAAGTCAACAAAGCGAAGCCCATTGTTTGCAAGGTCATGGTCCAATGAAGTGGATACTTATTTGGACAAGAGAAACCGGTAATGCAGATACGAAAATACTGCCAGCTCACACAGCTGATTTACAAGAACTGATCTATTTGTGTATGCTTTCACTACAATGTGGGGAGTTATATGCAATATAAAGAAAAAACTATCCCTGTAACAGGCCGTGGAGGCCCATAGGGTTGAGAGATGTTGAGGGTCCCACACTTTCTCGGCAATCGGCTCACAAACGGCGGTGAGGTTGTCAGCCTTGCGCGTCGGCTGCCCTTTACACCCATGAATATTCCTTGTACTCATTTCTGTTAGGGGCTGAATCGACCCCATGGCCATAGTGCGGCTGGAAGGATAAAGTAAATTAAAAAATCGACCTCCGTGGCCTGTAGTCCGTAAGTGAGCTATACTGACCGAGCGATCGCCGCTTGTCAGCGAAGTTAGTGCCAAATTTAGCCGATAGAGGGTGTCGCGTGGTCAGTGCAACGGATCCCCACGACCGTTAATCTCGGTTATTCTACACGGGAGCCGCTATTTCCTTCAAATAACTCAATTATCCTCACGAAGCTGAGTGGATCCCGTTGCAGACCCACTACACATAAAAAATCTGGTAGCGCTGGGAATCGAACTCGGACCTCTGGATCTGTAGCTAGGAACTCTAACCACTAGACCACAGAGGTGATCAGATACAGCATAGATACAGCATATGAGCTAGTATTAATTACTTCTTATGAACGGAAAGAGTTGGACTAGAAACCGGAAAATAGAATGATTTAATCCAAAATGGCTTGTTCCAATATTATATAACTTCATTTAATTTGAATTATATGAGAAAAATTATTCCTGTTATAAATAGGAATCAATTGAACCCCGGAGTGTTGTTTACAGGTCATTTTAAATGAATACGAAAAAAGAAAAATTGAGGAAAGAATGAGAGGAAGCTAAGTATGTACCGTTTTCTTTATTGCTAATGGGGTGGGACTAAGTCCCTCGTACTGCGGCCACTTCTGGCCTATTGTACAAGCCCAAGATGATAGGTGAGGATGACTGTGGAGCAATTGGTGGAACGAAGATTGGCAGGGGAAACCGAAGTACTCGGAGAAAACCTGCCCCAGCGCCACTTTGTCCACCACAAATACTACTTTATCAGACCCTGGATCGAAACCGGGCCGCCGCGGTGGGAAGCCAGCGACTAACCGCTTGAGCTATGGCGCGGCCCAAGTATAATACCGCTTAGTAACATTGGCAAAAGGGATGACATAATATGAGGCTGAAGATAACTGCATTATGAGGAGCTTCAAAAAGTTTACTCTTCTCCAGATATAATCAGAATAATAAGTCAATAAGAATTATATGGGAAGGACATGTAGAATGCACTGAAGAGAAAAAGAATGTACGTAGAATATTTATGAGAAATGAAGAATGGGAGAGGGCAGTAGCAAGAACTAAACCTATGTGAAAGATTAATATTAAAATGCATATTATTGAAATACAGTAGTGTGGTATTGATTGGATTCATCTGGCTCAGGATATGGACCAGTGGTATGCAATTGTGAATACGATAATGAACCTTCTGTTTCCATAAAATGCTGTTATATTTTTGAATAGCTGAGCGACTGGAGGCGTCTCAACAATGACTCAGATCCATGGAGTTAGTTTAGTTATATGACAGTATCAGTGGCCGCCGTACCGAGTGGACCCAGCTGGACTCCCCCCACCAAGCGATTTAAAAAAAAAAAAACATGACAGTATCTCAAGAGAAATTTTTGTTTACTGATCTGGAATTCGCGGGATGTGTAGTGAACTTATGCAATGTTAAGAAAGCAGTCTTCTGGGATTTGGCACCGTGTATATGTGGTGTTAACCGACGTTTCGGAGGAACGTATCGCCANTGTTATTTTCTTTCCGAGTATATATTTTATATTAAACAGAATCCCATACGAAACGTGACCAAACGTGGAGTTTGAGAGTTTAGATTTATTGCTTAGAATTTGAGAAATGACCTAACATCGACTAACTTGAAGTTTCTTGTGACTTTTTTCTATACACATCCTCATTCCTGCATGTTTTTCCAATTTATCGTTCACACATTTTCAGTTTGGAAAATTATCTTTAAAGAAACTAAGACTCATGCTTACAATACAACATATTTTTGCTCCTTTGGAGGTTTTACGAGTAAGGTTTACCGTATTTCTCCTGTGATAACCAATAAAACACAAAAAGGACATGATAACTGCGATCTTTGGCCTTGGGCGCCATATGCATCTGTTGATGTGTCAGCGAGATTCGCCGATCGCTTTTTGTCGGACTGATCGGCTTCTTTGCCATGCATCTGTGGATGGTTATCGCTGCACTGAACTTTTTTCATGTCTTACAGCTGAGTGATGGTCAGGCGAGAGAGAAGTCTCTTTGGCATGTGCCCGCGGCAGTAACAGCTTCCTTAGTGCTTTCCAGTGTAAACCGTTTAAAGCCCAGTAGTTGTTCATATACCGCGTCCACGAAAATTCTGAATCATCCGAGTGGTCCACGTAGCGCAGAAGCGATGTGTTTCCTGTGAGGTGTGAACGGAATTTGTATATATTATTTAGAAGATATCAGAAATTTAATTCTTTTGCAGCCCTACGAATGTTTATAGAAGAAACTGTCACCACGTGCAGTAAAAACCTGGCCCAACTTCTCTCCCCTTTTAATAACAAAGGCCACATCCTAACGATTTACCCTTTTCACTTCCTAAAACTTTACCCACTCACAAACGTATCTCTACCAGAAGGACGTTCATGTACTGCCTGGGAAACTTCAGCATCGGGGAAAAATAGTTTTTCTTGCCTTTAATTCTCTAATTACTCCCCGAAACACGTATTTTCTCTTCCCGTTTCTCTCTCTATCCACCGCTTTTTCTAGTCTTTAAAGGGTTAATAATCTGTGTTTCATTAATGATGTTCCTTCAACTGAAAATGTTATATACAGACAAATAGTTGCGTAAATATAATCATTTGGTTGGAGGTAGTTACGACATATTTCAAGGTACTGACTTGGTAACTGCCTGAGGAGACAAGAAACCTGCTAAAAATGACAAACACCATTAAGTGTAATCAGACCGAATACAAGCCGTGAGAGTTACCGCTTAGTTTCTCGGTGCGAAGTGAGATCATGTAGGATCCGTGGTGGGCAAAGTTGCTCTGGAGCAGGTGTTCTTTGACATACTTCTTTTTCCCCTGTCAAATGTTATTCCGTCTTCTGCGCCATGCTCAGGTATCATCATCATCGTCGTCAATGGTGGCTGGTACAATAGAGTAGTAGTGGCTGACGTACCAAGTGGACTCAGTCACACTCCGCCCTAAGAATAAAAGAAAAAGCACTTGCTTCATCATTCAGTTGTTCAGACGGCTTGTCGCCGGTTGTCACCACGGAAGCCTGGTTTCAGACCCAGCCCGTGTGGAATTTGTGGTGCACAAAGTAATAGTTGGTAAGGTTTTCTTCGAGCATTTAGGTTTTTCCCAGCCATTTATATTCCCCGCAGTGTACCACATACGTTATCAGGGGCTGACACAATTCC